GCGTATTTTTCATAGTCTTATATTTCAACAGTTTTACGAAAAACTGACTTTTTTTGACATGGAAATTATTTTTTAAGATTGACAAACATATGTGTAATTCGTGGCACAATTCAAACGGGATTGAAAGATACGTTTTCTCTCTCCATTGACTTCAATACATAATTTTTCAGAAATAAGGTCCAATGGACCGGAAGTAGATGGGCGTGACTTCGCCACTCAATATATCATATTATAGGGTAGTTTTTGGCATCATTGCAGAGCCATGGTCAGGGCATGTTTAGGAAAGAGCTGCATGAATTGATCAAGTTGCCGATTTACATTATAAGCCATCAATTTCAGTAAATAAACAATAAGTCAAAATTGCTTGATTCCAGCTTCTTAAATGTCAATATGTTCTGGTGTCTCATGCCCTATGACAGTAATGTAAACAACTTTAAATCGTGGACAAAACAAGTAATATGGGGTCCTTTTGGGCTTTGAAAAACACTGATTGACCTGATGTTCACCTTTTTGACATAGAGACCAAATACTAGTTAATCTAGATTAATAATCGTCAGATTATTTGACCCTGGTACAAAAAATCATTTTTTGCAGCGCTAGTATAGGATGTTTGATATATTCCCTTTTATCTCTGCAGTTTTTTTTATTCACTTTTTACATTGTAGGTAAACAAAGGGGACTATCAAGGTGAGGTGGTCCTCTTGGGGTCCTCTGAAGCCCAGCAGAAGGCCAAGGAGATGATTGAAGAACTGGTGTCAGATAGCAACTCTGAAAATGGTAATTTTTCTGGAAACTATCATGAAAGCATTCAATTAGGTGCTAAATATCCTTCCACAAGTCTCATCCCATAGATGTTGTCAAATGTGACGCTTTGTCCTCAGAATCACATTTTTCTGCATGTGAAAACATTCCAGATTTGTATTTAGCAGGGCCACATTCAATGTTCAAACAGTTGGATATTAAGCCAAATATGGGACCAGGATGGTTTACAAAATGTCACCACTAGGTGTCAAACTTAGCAGCCCATACAGTGTGGAATATATCCCCCCCAGCTTTCTTACACTTTGTTTCTGCAACCAAAAGTTTGGTGCAGTAGCTGTTTGGGGCATAATAAGATAGACTTATCAAATATTTCTGCTTCTCCTTTTCTGTTTTAAAGTCAATAATAAAGAAAGATGAACAGACAACACATAAAAAAAAAAGTAACTGATCTCGTTATGCAATGAATACTCACACATTTAGATGTCTTAAGCATTATCAGTTCCTCTATTGAACTTGATAGCTGTAACAATGGAAGCAGTGTGCGTAGAAAACACAAAGTTGTGACACTTGCTGATTCTTAGTTACACTACCACGCTGCAGTTTATAAAATGTTTTTCTCTGGTGTATTGTTCTGTTTCTCAGGTCCTGGTAGAGGGGGGCACTTTGGAGGTGGCTCCACGGGGGGTGGCAATGGAGGATGCTACAGAGGGAAAGAAGATGGAGGAGAGACAGATAGCTCTTGCTGGTCTGCTGCAGAATTAAAGAATTCGACTGATGTCCCGCCCCTCCCCGTAATGGATTGGAAAAACCTCCGGGAGAACAAGGGAAAGTTTCTAGAGCTCAAGTGGAAAGGTGAGGACTCGTTTATTCTCACTACTGTACATAAACTGCAGGTGATGGCCCTACTGCTGCATATGGATTTGAAAACTAACAAAACTATTCTATATATTTTCTTTGTCTGTAGTTACTAGCTAAAGTTGAACGGTATAACGGCCTTGTGATATGACACCAACATGAATAAAATGAATTCATGGCTTCAAAGTATTACTGTATAATTTGCAACTCCCTTCAGACGTCCCACCACTGAAGAAGAACTTTTACACGGTGGCAGAGAGTGTTTCCATACTCTCAGCGGAGGAAGTCATTGAATGGAGGTAAATCTGCCTGTGATACATTTTAATCACATCATCTTTCCTTTGTTTGTATAAAGGGGTTTCTTCATTGTAGACGATGATGCTAGACACCTGTTTTATTTTAAAAAAAACTTGTGAGGATGTCATTGCTTGGCTTTAAAACCAACATTTGTATTGGTTTGCTGATGGCATTGGTATTCATTTAGGCCTCAGGGCACTAGGTGGCACCATTTATCCACCTCTTTATCAGGGTGTCCGCGGGGTCTTAAAGTATTAAAAGTTTGCGTCAAAATGGTTGGAAGATAAGGAGGAAGGACAATCAATACTGTATATAGTAAATGTGAGGTAAAGTGTTAAAACTTGAAGTGGCGATGAGGTCTTAAAATGTATGGAAAGGGTCTTAAAAAAGGTATTACATTTGACTTCAGGATTCCTGCATATGCCCTGCACCCAGCTACATATTCCATA